ATTATTATATTATTATTATATTTCAATTATTATCATTTATTGCTTGCCACTTTATTTTCTTTTATTATTGTCAATAATACATCCTACTTCATTTTCTTTTATTACTATCATTAGCACTAAAAACTTCTTGATTTCTTATTATTTTTATTAGCAGAAATAAGCCCCGCTTTTTCTTTTATTAGTAGTATTAGCACAAATACTTCTGTATATTATTGTTATTACCATTATTATTATTAACAGAAATACTTCTATTTTATTTTTAAATTATTACTATCAATAATACTTGCTGTTTTATTGTTATTATTACTGTTCTTGCAGAAATATGTGTTACTTTCTTGATTATTATTACTGTTAGCCAAAAAGTGTCTGCTTTATTATATTATTATTATTATTATCAATAATACTTGCTATTTTATTCTTATTACTACCTTTGCAGAAATATGTGCTACTTTTTTATTAGTAGTAGAAATAATTCTACTTTATTATTAGTTTATTAGTATTCTTTTATCATTTATTATTATATTATCATTCTTAAATGCTACTTTTTAATTATTATTATTATTAACAGAAATGTATTCTACCTTATTTTCTATTACCATTATTATTAGCAGGAATTCTTCTACTTTATTTTTATTATTATCAGCAGAAATACTTTTACCGTAGTACTCTTATCAAAAAGAAATTATTATTCTTAATACTACTTTATTTTCTTTTTATTAACAGAAATACTATTTTAATTTTTATAATTTCCTTAGAAACGCCTGCTATTTTATTGTTATTCTTATTGTTTTAGCAGAACTACGTGCTTTGTTATTATTTTTATTATAATTACTATTATTATTAGCAGAAATAATTGTTCCATTATTTTTATTACCACTAGCAGAAATCCTTGCTGCCTTTTTATTCCTATTCCCCCAGAAACACGTCCTATTTTATGAACATTATTTTATTAGAAATACTTATTATTTTATCAGTGTTATTATTTTTAGCAAGAATAAGCGCTATTTGGGGGTTTTATTATCA